ACAGCAAAAAACTGCTGCAGGGCTCTACCACCGTTACAGTCGTAGTATGCAGAGTCCCTACGTTTTACTAAAATATTAATGATAAATATATGATTATATACATTAATATAATATAATAATATAGACAAGTATTATAAATATATATAGAGGGTAATAAATACAAAGTAACAGGTACATATTAGGTATACATTAAATAAATACTTAGTAAATAGGAGGGACGCCATCAGGCCCGCTCGACTTGTTGACGTCCAGAGAGAGGAGTGCTCTGTGCACCTAGCATTGGATAAACAGCACATCCTGCATGGAGCACTCACACCGCGGTATGGTCGGCGGTGTGTTGCCTCCGTCATCAAGAGTAGAGTTGGTTGCAAAGAGAGAGCCCAGCAGATCGTTTTTGGCCTTTGCGGCATGAGCCAGTGAGTCGTCCTCTATGTTCAGAGATGGGAGAGATGGCTGACAGAAGTTACCTTGAACAGCCTTGGCGAGAGACCAGAATGCACTTGTTCCCGAAGGAAAACAAACTAGTTTCTCGCCAATTCTGCCGATGTGCTCGGATTTTGCCTTGACAATGACACTTGAAGGACCTGGTGGCGAAATTATACTTCTTGTTAAGAGAACTGGTATTTAAAGTTAAAATCACCAAGCATCACGATCTCTGCGGATGGGACCTGTGGTAGCACGGAGTCTGCAGCCATTTGGCCGTGGTCGATGAGTCGGTCTGTCGGCATTGCCGCAATGGGACCTATAGAGGCACCCGTAGACGCGGACCTTCAAGGCTGCCGATGCGTTGAAAACAGATGTCCTCTCTGACGTACACGCAAACTCCAGCTCGGGGCACAAAGGAGTATTCTAATCTGTACCCTGTGTAGGAGAGATACGAAGTATCAGCCGGAGAGGACACCTGTGTCTCGGTTAGAAAGAGCAAGGCCGGCTTCGCCGTTTTCAAATGGTAGTGGACGGCGTTAAGGTTTGAATGAAGTCCCCTGATGTTGCAGAAATTCACAGATAGCGTGACGGGGGCGCTATTGACTTATTGCTCTGTTTGCCCCGAGCAGGTTTAGTCTCGAGCGGAATTTCGCCCCTCCAGTATACACAGGGCAGCCTGAGTACTCGCGCTCAGGAATAGTGGGGTAGCTTGGGCGTGGATGCTCAGCAAGGGATTCTCCGTCACCGGGGGTGCTGGTACCCTCCTGGGGTAGTATATTAGTTAACTCCGCTACCATGTTAAGTGGGGGGGGGGGGGATTAGGCCTCCGCCCACCTGAACTCACCAGACGAAATGCAGAAGCAGAGTTTCTACTTCACGCTGGTCTTCTGTGAGGTCGTGGTACCACACCAGTTCGAGCCGGCCCATGCGTGCATGCGTGCAGCAAAGGCTGCCGCGTGACTACCTATGTTAAAGTACTTCGTGTTCCTGCTTTTTATTCCACCAGCAAAACATTTTATAAAATAATATTATATGAAATATGGGTAAATCAGGAATGTCTAGAACAGGTAAATGAAATTGTATACTTGGGGAATGCTTTTAGCCGGGATGGAAGATGTGATTTAGATGTGGACAGGCGTGTCGCTGCCAGGAACAAAGTCAATGGTGCCCTGACTGCGTTAGTCAAAAGGCAAGACGTAGTGAAGAGTGCACGCCTTGCAATACATAACGCAGTGTTAGTACCGACTTTGTTATATGACAGCGAAACCTGGGTATGCCAGAAGAAGCATAAAAGCAAGTTGAATGCAGTGGAGATGCGATCTCTTCGTAAAATGTGCGGCGTTACCATGGCCGACCGAAAGCGAAACGAAGAGATTCGCAATATGGCAGGTTTGAAAGATGACCTTATCACAAAAATTGATAAGGGCGTGCTTCGGTGGTTTGGGCACGTCGAGCGAATGAGTGAAGACCGAATGGTGAAGAAAATATATAGCGCGAAATTTAATTTTAAAAGGTGTCGAGGTAGACCGAGACTAACTTTCGAAGACCATGTGAGCAAATTGCTCGAAGAGGGTAGGATCAAGAGTACTCGGATACCTCGACGTGCATGTATGAAGAAGATCTGAATCTGAAAGAAGTGAAAGAGGTACTCGTATGTAAGGATCGTGACACTTGGCGATCTGTTCTCTCTGGCTACCCCGTCAGGGATTGTGCGTGAAGATAAAATAATATTTATATATGATAAATATTACATTAAAAATTAATTCCGGGAAATTGTCCATGGCAGTAAATATTTTTCTCCAAAGGTCATAAACATTGAAAATCCAACTTTCCGACCCAATTTTTCGGGAAAATTATTTAAGTTTATTGGTAGATGCACCTCTTCAGAGATTATTTGAATTTAGTACAATTTGAATTAAAATCTATCAAAACGCACGTAGTGGCGGTGGAATAATATCCTATATCTACTATCCCACATCGTCCCATGGGTGTCGTAAAACGCGAAGGAGAGAAATTCAAACAGGTGATGGACAGAAGCATCTTCCTGATAACACAAAATAATAAAAAATGCGGTTTACAATCCACTCGCCAAGCGTGTCAACTATGGCTAAATCCCTCCTATAAGTCAATCTACGGGAAAGGCCTATATTCAGGTGGACTTTAGGCTGTGATGGATGACGGAAAAGGTAGGTAGGTATTTGAATATTTTTTAATTATAATGATCTCATATTTTTTTTATTGATTATTTTTTTCATTATTTTAGTACTATCATGGTAAAAATTCAGTTAATTTTTAATAAAATAGTTCAGTGCTCGAAACTGAATAACTTTTAACTATTCTTTATTATCTTTTTACCGCTTGCTTAACAATCATTTTTCGATAGTCCTTTTAAGTAAAATGTACATCACTAGCTAACACACAATAACAAATCAAAATTTGTAACGCATTTTTGGGCTGTAAGGTCATACGTATTCGCCACTATATTCTAAGTCTTTGGGAAGGAATTCAAAATACTCCATGGAGTAAAATGCTTGTTACAAAAATATGGAGTGTAAAAATTAAAAAAAAAATGTATAAAATTAGTTAGTAGTGGCAACATCGATGTTTTCATTTTTGACATCGATGAGCATCGACGATCCCTAATAAAATGTCAAGGCCTGAGAGGTTAAAAGAGTTTTGGCGGGTACTTGACCGGCGGCTGTTTGCTGCTCCTGTATTATAGTTTAAATAATAGTTTGAAGTGGATTTTGATATGTAAAAGTGATGCAACTTTATGTATTAACTGTCTACGCATGTGAACTATTAGTGGAAACGGTGAAACAAGTGCTCTGGTGGTGATGGATTCTCAAGATATGCTGTTTGTCTGCATATGCGCCTTTAGATACCATCGCCAACTGTCAGCTGTCTCAAGTTGCCGTCAAAATCTCCCAAGGGCTGTACAATGTGACGCATCAGAATATTGTGAAGCAGTGAACTATGAAGGATAATATAAAAAAGACAAGGCTGTATGGCTTAGTTCCTTTGCCTGTTCTCTCGAGTGAATAATAAAAACAACAACTGAGAGGTTAAAGGTAGGGATGGTCGATGTTGTAGAAACATCGATGATGATATCGATGTTGACATCGACAGCTCAACATCGATGTTCGATGTTTATCCTACTCTAAACATCGATGTTGACCATTATCGATGTTTTATTGCACATGTATTTAATAGGTTAGAATTAGATGAATAAAAAAATTGTCATGTTGTTTATGGTTGATAATTAATGAAATAAAAGAAATTAATAAACAATGTAGTATAAAACAGTAATTAAAGAAATTGGAAGAAGTTCACAATTATTTAATTCAAAAATTTAATGTATTGAGAAACAATAAAACAATTATTATATTTGTTATATTGTCCAATATATTTGCCGATTGATTGAAGAAATAGTAATTTTGACAAAGAAGTACCTTTCAGTCTGTTTCTTTGTTACTAAAGAGTTGAGCCAGCAATTGAAAATAATTTAAAAATAAAATTTTGTATAACTGACTTATGGATAACTCAAAAACTATTAGTCAGACTTATATGGGTCTTATTTATATGGGACCACATGTGAAGTACCAAATTTCAAATAAAAAAGAATCATCAAAATCGGTTCACCCAGAAAAAAGTTATGAGGTAACACACATTAAAAAAAAGAACATGCAGTGGAATTGAGCACCTTCTCCTTTTTGAAGTCGGTACCTAACCGATTTGGCGCTGATGTAGCGAATGTGGTCAAATATCTCACCGCAAGTTTTCTTTTTAATTTTAGATAGGTAGAACCGATAACATTGTTTGAAACGTGCATTGGATCGTGTTTAAGATCAACCATCGGATTTTTTTAAAAACAACCGATAAAGAAACAGATAACCAACAACGACACCAATAACAAACGAAATCAGTGACAATTGCGACATTACAGTTGACAATTGATATTGTTTGTTATCGATACGTTCAAGCATCGGAATTATTCAAAATTTTAAATATTTTCGAGGAGATGCCAGATTTAGTTGATATTGATTTCGCGTAGTCGCAACTACCCAATAATCGATTATGAGTTTATTGACATCGATGTTTCGATGTTTGATATGTGGCAACATCGATGTTAAAACATCGATGTTTTCATTCTTGACATCGATGATCATCAAACATCGATTATCATTGAACATCCCTAGTTAGAGGTCATAGAGATATATACCTATGGAAAGGGCATATTCTACTACAGAAATAATAGTTATATAAATATCTGTAATATCGATACACATATGTCAAAAACAGTTTTGTTTCTTTTTAACAAAGCAGTAGCTGCATTAGAAAAGAGAGACAGCTACAGTTTGTCAAGTGCTTATTTTGACAACGCTCATGTGACACTGACATCATTTGCTCATCCATACGTGACTGCGTCGCCATCGGCCATTGTAAGCGCCCAGTTTTGTGATAGTTCCGCTGTTATACTCTTGCGTGCTAAAAGTATTTTTGTTGTTTTCCTGAAAAATACGGCTAGAAATTAGGTATTGTGGTGCTCTAGGCTTTGCCGTAAATAATTAATCATGCCCTCGTGTTGCATAATACAGTGTAGTGCAAGAAAAAGCAAAAATCTGCCTGAATTGACCATTCACAGGTTAGTAACTAATTTTCATTGAGTTTTGATGGATTTTGTATGATGTATTGTTACAAGATGATCTTTTGAAAGATTACTGAGACCTGTGTCAGTTTTGTGTGGCTTTTAGATTTATATTTTCTTTAATTTCATTGCATTGTTTACATACAATAGAAGGTTAGTAAACATAGTGATGCACGCATGCGATGAGCGATGTTGAAATTACGATAATATTTTGTACAATTTTTTTTTGTAATGTTACAATGGTATTTTATTCGACAGGTTTCCAGTAAATAAAATTTTAAAGAAAAAATGGCTATCTGTTATTGGCACTGAAAATATAAACCCCCGACATAAAATGTGGTATGTCTGCTCAATGCACTTCGAGGAATCATGCTTCAACAGAACTCTCGATGTGACAAGGTTACATGACAATGCAGTGCCCTCATCTTCTCTTATAGTAGGTTTTTCTTCTATGTATATTTTATTATGTTACTAGATGACCCTAACTACCTAAAATTGATTTGATTGTAACTCTTTAATTCTTTTCCTAAACCACTCTGTTATTGAGGCTAACAAATATTTATTTTTTTACATTCAAATTGGTTGAGGGCCTCGAGGCATTTCTGAGTTTTTGCAAGATTAACGTATGGCAATGGATTTATAAATTAAAATAATTTTATGAAGACTAATTTTATCATGTCATGTGTTATAAATACTTTTATATTTTGATAGTAATTTAATGAATGTAATAGTTAGATTGAGTCACTAATAATATTGTAACTTTTTCAACAAATTGACAAGCAAATAAGTGTCTTACAACCTAGTACAAGTATAATGGTAAGGATGCATTTTTTAATTATTATTAAATATCCCAGTATATGTGTTGGTTGCTGCTAGTTGGGGGAGAAAAAACAAAAAAAGATTCATCTTTCAGGAGTGGCCTTCAATATGCCTAAATTGACCATTTATTTTTTAACTCAAAACGGGATATGGGTTTATTTATACTCTAAAAACTATAAGTTTATACAATTAGTGTTTAATATAATTATATTCACAATAATTATAATTATTTTTATTATCACAAATTTTGATAAATCAAAATCAATAACCATTTCACCAGCTTCATTAAAGTGAAGTTCCTTAGACAGTAATTATTAAATACAACATATTTTTTTTAATTATTATTTACATTTGTCAGTGGAACAAATTTGCTTTAATAAGGTGATGATGTTAAATAAGAATAAAATTCTGGGCATGGTGTTTTTATATGACCATTGCTATCAACATTGCCTTTAGAACTGGAATGTGTAAGTGATTTTTTTTTAGACGTTCACAATTTATTCATTATAGAATAATACTCTTTCTACTGGATCATATTTTGTACCAGGTAGACATAAAATATATTCGATTAAAATGCAAAAAACATTATGTTGAAGATTGTGTTGAAAATGATTGTGATGTTGGTGTGAAAGTATTTGAATACTTCCACCTAACAAGTTTCTGTGGAAACTTTTAAATTATCCCATTCAGTTAATTTTGGTTGATCTCGCTCTCGCACAGTTCGTGTCTGACAAACTTCATAATTTTAAATTTTCGCGCTATTTCGGAAAACGGGACTATTTTGCGTCCCGGAGCTTTGCTTTGGGACAATGGGACAGGTGAACGAGAAAAGGGATAGTACGGTCAAAACGGGGCGTATGGTCACTTTAAGTATGCCTCTATTAGTAGTCTCTAGTATAGTCATTATTTAAATTATTAAAAAACCTTATCAATTGTTTTAGATTTCCGACAAAACAAGCAGAGCTGTTTTGCGTAAAAAACAAAATAAACCAGAGTCATCCTGTCCAATGGAGTGGGATGTGCCTGATGATAATTTAATCGAAAATGCACCTGTAAAGGTAAACTATGCTAGGTTTTATCTTAAAGATATATATATATATATATATATATATATATATATATATATATATATATATCTATTTGTGAAAGGAGAACCAACAATGTATGGGGTTTGGTCCCACCGCCAATAGCGATGTGCTGTATATCATTGAAAAGCTCTTGATGTACTTTAATTGTTTATAGGGCAGCTAATCTCTAAATGATGTGTAAAAAAATATGGGTGCGTTTGAGTTTGTTAGGACGAATTTTATTGGTAGTTATGTGAAAACGTTCCAATCCACAGTGAGTGCCATTTGAGAAAAAAGGAATTTACTTGTGTGCTGGAACATTGTCGCATAACTACATCCAATTAATACTGGGCGTCCTATGGGAAATTTCAAACTTTCTTGAATTAAAAGATTACGGTTGGCGGGTGAGGGGCGGAGCGAGCGGTAACGGTAACGGTGGATTATTTATTAGCAATGGATCGAGATACCATCTATAAGCAGTTTTATGAATCATTCAGCAACCACGTAGTATTACTGTACTCTGTGGCATCAACCATTAATTTTTGATCTCTTCTTCCTCTAAGACTGCATACAATGGAGAAGTCAAGCTGTATCTCAATAATGACTCAATCGAATGAGATGATTCATGCCTCAGATTTTAAGTTAGAGTAACAGCTATCCAACAGTACAAAGTTCATTGAAATCCTTTCAGTCGTTCTCACGAGATGATGTATGATTTTCGAAAACAGAATATAATAAATCCAATCCTTAGACGCCCATTACACGCCTAGGCAAGCGTCAATCAGTTCGATCAATCATGATTGACGTTTGAATGATAGAATAATTTCGCTCATGCTGACTGATGTCAGTCAAACCCAAATTTTCGGAGAGAAAGGACCTACCTATAAACTAAGTTCATTTTCGATTCACCATTTAACTGTAATTTAATATCTTGAAAAGTAAAAGAAAAAAAAAAACGAATAGGCAAAATTGTAATATAAATAATAATATTATTTTACCCATTTTAATTTAACGCGTGCCAATGTTCGACCTCTTTGAGAGCATAATCGATACGCGGCTTTGTTTGAAACGCATTTATGCACGAAAAATAAGCTTACCTTTTATATTTATTCATATAGGGTGGATGCCCCTATTACCAGCCTTTTAGTGCCAATTTCAATTTTCTTTTGTGTACCTAATGCCAGCATAGCATAAGGCTATGCCTTTTGAATTTTTGGTAGGTACCTATTGTAGGTAAGTTTTAGGGGCACTGAAATAAATTCATAACAACTTTTAATTTTAAATCATGCATGTCACAAGCATGGAATATGTATTAAGATAGACGACAACAATTATTTTATTTTAATGTTTTACTTCTTACCTTACTGTGGTTTAGCTTTAAGCAGTTCCATTTTTCTTTTAACACAACAATTAATTAAAACAAAATTATAATAAAAATTGTGTACATCGATTTCTTATAATTTAATCATCCAAGTGTTTGAATCTTCATCATCATTTCAGCCCTTCACAAATCCACTACTGAACATCATCCTCCATAGACTGGCGCAAAGCATTGTGCTGAATCACTTTCCTTGTTATAACTTTTTCATTTATGTTCTTAAGTTATAGTAAAATTAGTATTACTAAGTTGTAGTTAATTACATTTATTGTTTGTTTTTATCTTTCTCAAAAAATAATTAAATATTGGTTTGGTCATGTAGAAAGAATGAACGAGGAAAGAGTGACAAAGCAAATCTATGTTGCAGAAGTGAATGGCAGGGTCGGGAAGGGACGCCCTAGACTAAGGTTTATCGACCAAATCGGCGATACATTAAAAATGGGCCAGATTAGGAGTACCCTTAACCGACGAGCGTGTATGCGTAGATATATGGATGTAAAGGAGGCGAGAAAGGTGTATGAGGATCGCGCCAAATGGAAGTCCGTAGTCTCTGCCTACCCCTCTGGGTGACACTCGTGAGTGTTTGGGTGTGTGTGTGTAATTAAATATTGTATGGTGTTCTTAACATATACCAAATGTCTGAAAAGCAAGTACGTATCATTTGCAAAAATTTTAAATCAAAAACCAATTTTAAAATATTGAATTGATCATAATTTATTAATGTAAAATTGAATTTCTATAATGTAAAAAAAATAATTATAATTAATTTTATAAGTGTAAAATAAGTTATGTTCTAAGTAATGGTATTTATTCCAGTTTATGACAGCTCTGATTTATATTACGTGGCTGAAATTAGGTACTTCTTATTATGTACGTCAAACCAAATAACAGCCGGGCGACTGACATTAAGCACTCCATACATTTCGTATATCTAATTACAGCCCCATTAATTTTCACTAAAATAAAATTAAAAAAAACTTATAGATTTAAACCAAAATAGCTACATTACTATGTCTATAGTCACATTCATACAAATCAAAAAGCCTAAAGATGAGCTAATGTAAAATATGCTTAATTATATCGGGACCATAACTTGTCAAAAAATTAGAAAAATTAGCGTTTTTCGTTGCGTACGTGTTTTGATTTTTAATTTAACACTGTTAGGTTTAAAACTGTGAGGTAATATTTGAAATATACATTACCCTAGTTACGAAGAATTTATTAGCCGACATTATTTGTAGCTACGACTACTATAAATCTTATTTACGAAGTAAAAAGGCGGAAAGGCTGGAATTATGGGCATGGTTGGTATTAGGGGGCATCCACCCTACACGGGGTTTTTCGTATCCCACAAATCGGGGAGAGCCTTGAAATTTAAAATAAAATCTTTTTCTGACTGAAGTACGTTTGGCGGGAGTGGCGACGGGCTGCGCAAGCGCGTGGAAGCTGCTTCTTCAATATATTCTGCGTCCGCCTCCATTGCTGTCTAAGCGTTGACTGACGCGTGATTGACGAAATGCCATTATACGTTTAATCAAAATTCGTGACTGATAGTTGATTGACGTAAAAATCAAAATATCCAGATATTTGTCAATCAATTTCATGCATCCGTCAATCACCCCATTACACGGTAGGTTATTCGTCTATGACAACGTGATTGTTGTAAAACTGACAGCAAAACCTACCGTGTAATGGGTGTCTATATTAAACAAAAGACCTCCTCATATTGTATGCACAATAACTGTTACCAATTTATTATTTGCTCGAAGATATTTCAATTACAGAGGTCCAGTCCTATATAATTTTGCCAAAAAATTATCTATACATACCTACCTATAATAAATCTGTTGTAAAATCGTGTCTGTAATTCGAATATATTCTTGAAAAAACAAGTCCAGGAGACTAGATACAGGGTACTGAAGTCAAATTAGTGGTTTTTAGAAATTATGTCTGTCTGTCTGTCTGTCTGTCTGTATGTGTATTACCGATTCACGCAAAAACTACTCGACCGATTTCCATTAAATTTATATATAGGTAGTTAGTAACCCGGAGCAACTTATAGGCTACTTTTCATCCGATTACGGGAAAAAGGAAGGTTTAGTATTTTTCTTCCTCTAGATGTTGATTTTCTATTATATCTTAGTTATAGGCGGGATGACGGGTGTTTTTCAAATAAATACCACATTTATAAATTAAGTTTAAAATATGGTTATAACCTTGGTAAAATAATTTGAAACCACACCGATTTAGTTATCAAAACATCGACATCTGTCATCAAATGAAAAAAGTAGTATATTTTGCCTTGAGCCACGAATAAGTTAAATAATATAAACAACTTACATTTATATGTTTAAATAATTAGATTAGATTTTTAGTATTTTTGTTATTTTATTTTAAGTTTTATAATTTCAATATATAATAGTGACGTCTATCAAAAATATGAAAATTGATAAGGTTTTTATTTCAATAACTAGATTATCTATATGTAAACTGATTAAAACTGGTCTACCTACAATTATTGCAAAATTTTCATTACCATTATAGTATTATTAAAGAGATTTTTATATATGTCTTGGCCAGATCTTAGAATTGATCATATATCAGAAAGTTGTCTCTCATTTCGTGAAATGGTGTGGTAGTTTCATGATATTTAACACTGTTTGTTGACCATGTCATGATATAGCTTGACCAAATCATTGTATAGAAATCGTTTGAAGATATTAATAACTAAACACAACGTTGCTATTTCATGATATGGTCATATGACGATATCATTAAATCGTTTTTCACCGCTAGCGGCGCATTGATGGTGTATTTTTTAACAGAAACAAAACTTTTAACAAAATTGACACCACTTTATGGCTTATTGGAAATAAAATAAATGTTCGCTTCTATCGCTGATATTACTAGATAGTATAGTTTTGGCTTTCATTATTTCATCTAATAATACCGCACTCCACTTACTTCTAAATAAACTAAAATGAAAAGTCGCTGATACAATTAAATTAATAAAATGCTACTAAATATATGATGTAAATAATTGAAAATTCATTCGTGTCATCGTTGGATGTGTAATTACTACGTAAATATGGTCAACAATCATGCAAAAGCTTAGTTTCAGTTTTTATGAATTGTATTTAAACAAATACGAGGGCCATATAGGCCGCCCTGAGATTACATCATGGCACGGGAGCAAAACGTGTACGATTCCCTCGAGGATGAATCTGTAATAGAAAATTTTACGTGATGACTTAACACGTGTCCGTTAAAGTGGTGAAGAATAACTTCGTGGGGAAACCTAGATGTCTGAGTATGTGAAAACCGTTAATATGCATTAAAGTATTACAGCATATTCTATTTTTCTGCCCACAAAACACTATAGGTAATGAGGAGCACTGTGCACAGTAGTGAGACGTGTATTAGCTGGTACTTTACTTTTTTAGCTTTAATAAGACTTATGAATCAGTTTATAATTTAAGATAGCTTTCATATTTTCAGACATATTAAGATATTTCTGACAGTCCTGGTTCCATAGCTCATATGAGTATATATAATGAACAGGCTTTTGCGGAAAAATACTGTAATTAAAGAAAGCAGATTTTTTAAACAAAGG